ATGCACACTTCATGAGTTCCCTAGTTCATTTAATAAACGTACACATCCTTTCATTTTACATTTAAGGAAATATGCAAGGTACCTTACCTACTGATAATTTTTCAAGAAATTCTATATTTAAATTTATAATACATGTACCATATTACATATTTTTAGACTAAAATGAGCATGAATTTCCAGGGATTTTGAAAAGATATTAAAGTTTAAATTTTTTTGCATTAATCAAAGAAAAATGTACAAAAATTACAAAACATAAATTTCAGATTTTTTTCAGCAAAATTGTTTTAGAGGAGACAGTAAAAATATTGCACACAGGTCCTTCCTTAGTGGAACTCTTCAACTCCAAGGAAAAACCCAATAAAGTGCAAACTACATTGCGTGGGACCTTAAATGCCTGTTAATCAATTATGTAAGAGAAAAATAAATAAAGAACTTCTTTTTTTTTAAATAATGAAAAAAATCCTAATTTAAACCTTAAAGTTTAATTTTTAATTAAGAAATTTGACAGATGAATAAAATGAATAATATACGATAGAATACTTATTTAATTAACTCTTACTTAGTTCCATTCATTAGATATTCAATATTCAAGTCAACGCCCTTTTCATGAATGAATTATCAACAGTTTAGTCCGTAAAGTTTTCAGTGGATCCACAGATCATATGAGATGATGTCTCCTTTTATGTGTATGTATCTGCATATACTGAAAAAAAGAAAGTGGCTGTGTGATGAAAAGGATAATAAAGAAATCTCTGATGAGAATGTAGCTCAAATGGTCTGTATGCATAACAAAGAAAAAAAGCTCTTGGATTTGAAACATACAGCAAAAAACAAAAGTATGTATTTAAGTGGAGTCTACTTGTGTGCCACATTACATTGAAATCATACCAAAATTGTAGGTGGAGTAGCGTTTTAAAGGAGTTTTTATACAGAATTTTCTATTTTTAGTAACCATGGCAGCACCTTTCATTGAAATAAAAAACAATGCAAAATGTACCTTAGTGCAGTCTACTTGACTTGTGTGCAAAGTTATATTGAAATCATAATAAAACAGAGGAGTAGTGTTTTGAAAAGTAACAGACAGATGGACAGCTAGACAGACAGACAACTAGACGCCATGGACAGACAACGGATGGACAGCTAGGCGGACGAGGGACACCTTCCTATCGCATAAGCTCTTCTGGTCTCTGACAAAACATAAAAAAATCAAATAAACACATAAGAATTTTCACACTGGCAATTCACCCCGGTCAAGTTGCATTACTTAATTAAGATCCACTCCCTTTCGAGACATCAGATACAGGATAACCTTGTTATGCAATTTTTTTGCTGGGCAGAGTATAGCTGTGTGCAGCATATCTAGGTCAAAATTTGAATTCAACTGATGGACCAGAAATGCATGCGCGTCTCCTTGCTGTGCTGTGTATATGATGTCAGGTCAGGTGACGTCAGGCCACTATTCCGGAAATATTGATTTGTACGTTTTGAGTTTAGTTTTGATTGAGTGAATAAAATGGTCGAAATGGCAACACGTGTGTCATGTTTCAATGCCAGAATAAGTTCGTCTAACCTCTCATTCCCCAAACAGACGACATGGTGGAGAATTTAAACCCTGTTTACAACGACCGCCTACTGTCTGAAGGAGCGAACAATACATTACAAGTGATTGAACCTGCTAATACCTCGATTGATGTATTTCCCGCCATATTTGACCAGGAATACGACTACGTGAGCGACGTCGAAGATTATCAGTTTTACCCAGCTTCTGATATGAACCCTCAAGCTGATCAGTTTCATATATTTCCAATATTGTGTTCCGATTATTGAGACATTGTATAACTTTTGGATAGATAAATATACAGAGGTGACATTTTAGAATGTCAGAAGTTCAAATATATATAATTCTTAAAAAATAAAATATAAATTCAATTTTTATAAAGTGTGTGAAATGGTATTTTTGAAAATTGATGGTTACACCTCCAATAAAATTATAAGGAAACAAGAACTTAATAATTTGTTAAGATTCATTAATACCTTCATAAAATTAATAATTAAAAAATACTAAAATTCACACACACTAAGTCATGCAGAAAAATTTGTGTTCTTATCTATACTTTAAATCACATTTATGTTTAAAACGGTATTGATAGATCTTGACACAATATAACATATGACATTAGATAATAAAAAAAATATGTAAAGCCACATTATTCACATCTTTAAAAATTTAAATTCCTGGTGTTCATAAAATGCTTGATATCATTCGCACGAGCCATAATGATCTCAATTTGCCAGCTGTCCGTTTTGATTTCTTCCAACCTTTTATCGATTCTCTCCAGTAGCCCTTTTCACAAAAAATCTTACTACATATTTCAATCTTACGAGAAAACTTACGATAAAAGTCGTTTTGACAAAAATTCTTAAGAAAGTCCTACGTGCAAAATCTATCGTAACTTTACGAGAGCCCGTACCCTCTCTTAAGTATTTTCAAACTGATTTTAATGTTAAAATATAACCACAAAAATCAAAATACACATAAAATAGAACTTGTAAAAGTGATTTCCAATATTATTTTATATTTTTTTCACGCTTATTTTAGAAAAATCACATTAAATACACAACAAAATATTTGCGATCTAAGTTTCACTTAAGATTTTCGTAGGACCTACTCTTACGTCATATTTGTGATTGTGACGTCACATTTCAAACTTTTTGCTTGCACTCGTTATTTGTTGTCAGTGACGTTTGTTTTTGCTGATAATAAATAAAAACTAAGCTATATTTTTATGATCATCAACTTATGTAAGGATTATAAAGCATATTGAGATCGTTGCTAAGGACGAAATCTGTCGTAATTAAGATCTTAAGTTCAATCTGCTACGAATGCTTTCGTGAAAAGCACATAAGATTTGTCGTAAGAGATTCGGAAGTTAAATTCTTAAGCAAAAACTTAAGATTTTTGGTGAAAAGGGCTACAGAAGCGTAGTTGTTAACAATAAAAGTTTAAACATTTCTTTCTTCACTTCGTTTTCAAAGCAATGTTGTAAAGATGGGATCTTGTTAAAAATAATAAAGAAAATTGTGATTGTAAGTTGTTCCTCTTCACACGTACGAGTTGCAAATGTTCTTGATTAATATATTTTTCTTGATTAAACAAATAACTATATCTACAGTTCATGCATCTTTGTTTTAAAAAAACTCCACATCGTTGTCATCGTCCACGATAGTAACCTTTCGTTTTTAAGGTGGAGTAATTCTGAGCTATAGTTAAAAAAAAATGGAGAACAATTGTAGAATTTTGTTTAACCAATATTATCATCTAGAATTAAAATACATCGCTTGCTGAACAGAATAAGTATATACTCTTTGCGACATATTGCAGATGAAAAATCAAAACTAAACTCACCATTTGGGGACTTGGTGGCTGTAAGTTCTTTAGAACATCTCTCGCAGCCAGAATCTCATCCCCAAGGTCTGCAATAGCCATCATAACTTCCTCCGAGAGGGAGGTGGAAGTTCCCCTTACATTGTCTGTCAAAGGAAAAAAAACATGAATAAGTTGGGGAAAAACACTAGTTTTCCGCTCTACAATTTTTTTAAATTTATTTATTTATTTATTTATTATAATTTTTTATATATATTTTTTTAATTTTACATATATTTTAAGATATAAGACCAAAGTTATATGCCGTGAAACAATTTTGTTAAGATAATTTTTTTCACTTGTGTATAGTTAAATGCTTTGATTTTTATGAATAATTAATTTCTATTGTAAATGATTTAAAATTTAAGTGATAGACTAAAATATTGATATTTAACAAAACTATACAATTAAAGAAAGTCATAACTTACTTTGGATGTGAAAATAAACTTTCCGATTAAAAAACGACAGTTTCATTGAATATTGAGCCTTGCGAATTTTGTAGTCATCGTTTTTTCTATTATGAACATTGGCGTTTCCCCATCCTCCTCTAAAGTCTAAGTTAACTGAGGTTGCGCCGATTTGATTTGAATGCCATAGCGCTGTTTGAGTTGAGTTGTATCCCCAAAGTAGTAAGGGGGGTAGTCTGGGGTCTATTTGGGGTCAGTGACGTCATGGGTCCGTCTGGGGTCACCCTAATAACTTGGGTCCGTCTGGGGTCAATGACGTCATGGGTCCGTCTGGGGTCACCCTAATAACATGGGTTTGTCTGGGGTCACCTGACGTCATGGTTCCGTCTGGGGTCACCTGACATCATGGGTCCGTCTGGGGTCATCCCAAAAGCATGGACCCGTTTGGACCCACCACTATTAAGTATTCCATTTTTTTAACCTTCTATTTTTTCAATAAGGATACCTACGACACATCTTATCTTTTTTTTGTATAAAAGTCCAAGATTACGATACATTTATCTCGTACACCTTTTGGAATCAAAAAAGAGCAGAGTCTCCTCTCGTAGTAAGTCAAATATTGTAACTTATGTTATATTTCTTATGCCTCATCATTATCACAAAGAAAAAAGACACTAAAGATCAACTTTTTTTTATTATTATTTTACATAAAAATGTCGTGTAAAAGCATTTTGTATATATAAAAATTATGTGAACACAATCCGTGTTATTAGAAAACCCCAATTTTTAAAAAGTTCAATACAATCATCGAAGTTTAATTAATAACATAAAAAATAAATCTAGAACATAACTAGTTTTTATCTATAGTTAAAAACCTGAACACAAATATGTGATTATTGTTTGGTTAACTAGTATAGAACATAAAGGGGTAAAATGAACACATTTTTGTGTAATCATTATCATTGATAGATAAACAAACTTTAATTATATCTAATCTATGTCATACCTATCTATAAAAAATATAAAGTATAAATTGACATATAAAATAGAGCTCATTATGAAAGATCATTTAAAAAAAAATATTTAAAAAATTTATAAATCCCTATTTATTCTTTTTTTTCACTAACATAATTACACCCTTTACAGTAAGAATATGGTTGAATTTTATTTTATGAAGGTCCTATTTGTAATTCACTAACACTGAGGTTTGTAAAATATCCATTTGGGTACTGTTTGTCTAAATTTTCATCCAGTGTATAAATACCAGAGCATTAAAAAAAAAATAGTTGGGTTCTATTCAAACACCTAGTGTTTCAATGTTGATATTGAAAATTTTCATGAAGTCCTGAATATAATTCACCAAAATAGAGGTTTGTAACAGGTCCATTCGGATATTGTCCTCAAGTTCGTTAAGGCATTCAAAACCTAGGTGGGTTCTATATTCAAACACCTGGTGCACATGTTTTAATGTCAATATTGAAATTTTTTCATGAATTCCTGAATATAATTCACCAACATAGATGTCTGTAGAAGGTCCATTCGGACATTGTCCACAAGTTCATTAAGGGCATCCAGTTCCTCTTTAAGAGGAAACTGGATGGGTTTATTCCAGAACCCCGGTGCTTCAATCGGCGTAAATCCCGAGGTTTGAGTTTGGGTTGACAGAGGGACGATCGTTGGAGACATTGGGCTGTACGCTGACAGGGGTTGAGTTGACAGAGGGACGTCTGGTGGAGACACTGGACTACACGCTGGCGGGGATTGGGTTGACAGAGGGACGTCCGGTGGAGACACTGGACTGTACGCTGGCAGGAATTGGGTTGACAGAGGGACGTCCGGTGGAGACACTGGACTGTACGCTGGCGGGGATTGAGTTGACAGAGGGACGTCCGGTGGAGACACTGGACTGTACGCTGGCGGGGATCGGGTTGACAGAGGGACGTCTGGTGGAGACACTGGACTGTACGCTGGCGGGGGTTGAGTTGACAGAGGGACGTCCGGTGGAGACATCGGGCTGTACGCTGGCTGGGGTTGAGTTGGTGTCCATGTCTCTTGGAACATCGTTGTAGATGCGCGTTTCTGGCGTTTCTGGGTGAATGAAGTATCCAGCAAATCTCTAGTACTCATTTTCTTCTCCAGTTTGACATATTTTGAAGGGTTTTCCTGTCTTTTTCAAAGAAAGTAACGAAATCTTTTTAAACAACCATATAACAGAATTAAACTTTTTAAAAGATTGTCAAGAAAAATAATTCTAAAATATATATATATACATGTAAGAGTATACATTTGATGTTTTAAGAATTTCAGCTACATTTAATCTGTTCAAGACACTGAATTTTGTTGCATAAAAAAACTCAACACTAGAACATAAATTCAATACCTGAACTTTTTTAACAAAGGTTCTTCTTGTTCCATCTCTTGGGTGAACATCCCCGCTTTTACAGTTTTCTTTGCGAATTTCTTTCTATTCAAAATCATGGAATCCTCAGCGTCTTCAATCTTCCTCTTTTTTGATGAAGGGGATTTGTGGGGGTCCTTCAGAGAATTTCTAATTTTTTTTGGAAATAAAAGGAAGTGAATTTAAAAAAAAAAGAAAAAGAAATTTATCTTTGGTCAAAAAGGATTCAAAGATGCTAGACGACAGCAGGTAAATTTGAAATATTTTCTGTTTAAATTTAATTTTATTTCTTTATTTTTTGGTTTATCTTCTTTTAGGGCTTAAAAATCAAAAGCAACAAAAGAAAAGCATTGAAAGTATAACTTACCCTGAATCAAAAATTAGAGAAAAGTTGTGCCCTACCTCAATCCACTCCTCTTCGAAATCCTGAAACGTTCTTTCAGGTGAAGAGGTAACATACTCCTGGTTTTTATTGTTTTCTCTGGAAAAATCAACAAAGAATGATTGTTTAGGCTTCATTTATGGTCCAAGAAAGATAACCTAAGTTATAAGTTTGTGCACTTTTTTTTATTCGCAAATAACTTTCCGATTGTTCTGCTTTATTTATTTAGTTATATTTATTATAAAATATTTTAAAAAAAATATCAAAATAAAAAAAAATCCATTTAAATTATCATGAACCTAAATAACAATAATTTTTTAAGTAATTTTATGTTTCACGTATAGGAATAATATCCAATGTATTATCTCAACTTTTATTAATTTGAAAACATTAATCTTAATAAAAAATACAATTAACTATAAACTTTTAAACTTCAATTTACCAAAAAAAATAAATAAATAAATAACGAAATATCGTAATTAAGACATTGATGTTATAATGTAATAACTTACAGAAATTCAAAGAATGACTCTGCCATAATTATCTCTGCTGCTTTCTAACCGTTGCGTTTTTCCAAGTTGAATTTTCACAATGATGCCATTAACGTTTATTCTTCCCTTTTTATATCCCGAGGGTGGGTCTTCTGCGCCTTCTAGTTGCCAGGGGGGGTTTCTATTTTTATATTATTCTGGTTGGATAAGGGAGGTGTGTTCTAGTTGTCATGGGGGGTATCTATTTTTATTTCTAATGAAGTCGATAATAATGAAGGGGTTGGGGTCCATTGGGTGTGGGGAGGGGTGGGATAAGGGAGGTGTGTTTTCGTTGTCAAGAGGGATCTCTATTTTTATCAGTTCAAGTTTTGTACATTTAAAACTGCCGCGACCTTATTACACGGCTGCGCTTAAAGAATGTCGGTATCACGTGAAACTTAAAGTGTGAACAGATAAGTTAGAGTTATTTAAAAAAATATATGAATTCATTAAAAAAATAATAAAAGTTAGATGAAAAATGTAAATATTTCGCAATGATTCCTGATGTAAAATTGAAACAAATTAGGGAAAATATGGGGGGGGGGGGTTAATTCAAAATTAAATGTACTTTATTTTTTCTTAAATTTTAAAAAGAAACAATGTCACTGAAAACTTGTAGATTGCACAGTATTCTTTTTTTTTTAATACGATAGTAATATTCACCGTTGTGATAGTTTTAAAAGTATGCAAACAAGTATATTAACATTAATTAACAAAGTTAAACTCATTCTAGGTTTTGAAAATTATAAAAACTAATAGAGAGAGAGAGAGTGTGTGTGTATTTATTATCAAAGTCCAAAATAATAAACGTTTTTCCCTGGTCTTTTAATGATTTGATAGTACGTAAAAAAAAAAAAAAGAAGAGGAAAACTTCACATATTTTGGATTGCTATTATCATAGATATGTATTTTTAATCCACATATCTACAGATTTTTTTTTTTACATGTACATGTTCATTTAGATATATCTTAGAGTGTCCTCTACAAAAATTCAATTTTTTGTAAAATTGTCATGTACAAATTTTAATTGAAAAAAAAATCTAATTTTTGTAGAGGACATTAGGATATCACATTGCATGAGTGACCATCACTGATAAAGATCGTTTGTTAAATAGATTCACGAATGTGGTATGAATTTTTTTAAATTCATTGTTTTAAGAATGTCAATTTGTCCTTAAGGGTATGACCCGATTTGACCTTTAAATACCTGACCGCATTTTTCTTCAACGCTTTGTCTTTAGAAATTATTCATTTTAGTTAACCCTTTTTTTTCTAATTGGGGGGTCTTTAATTTGTGTAATTGGAACATATCTGGGTATGAGTCATTTTCGCCCGCTGTGATAAACAATGAAGTACAGTTGTGTATAGAAATATATCGGTCATCACTAAAAATTAGAAATGTCAAGAAAAAAAAGTTAAACAAATAAGGAAAACAATTTAAAATGAATTTTGCAGAAATTGTTTATAGAAAATGGGGTATTTAAGGCTGTTACGTTGATATATGCATTATTGCTATATCTAAGACTCAGAGTAGCCCACATCTAACTGTCTAGACAGTTCACTGTCTGTCAGTAAGTTTTTTTTCTGTGATTTTTGATTAGTACATTTCATCCTTGTGTCATTTAACGTAAATAAAATAAAGTATTTTTATAGACTCTGTAGTAAATGATGTTACATCTTAAAGGTTCATAAATGAAATATAGATCTAGTTAATCGGATTAATAATGTTAATTAACCCACCTATTTCTTCTGGGAGCGGTATATATATATATATATATATATATATATATATGGAGGTTTTATGTATAAAGGAGACCACTCGTCCACATATATATACATTAGGGGGACACGGATATTGAGGGGACACCAAATTGGTCCCCTTAATGTTTAAGCTTGAATACCTAAATTACAGAATGATCCAGTAAGCATTAGTTGTAAACTTTAAATAAAGTTTGACATGATCTTACAAAATTTAATTACATTTAAATTTTTTAAGTATGGAAAAGGTAGATAAATAGCATCCAATTTTCAGCATATATATTTTTAGGTAAATAAATTTATGCTTTAAGGACACCACTAAAAAGTCTCTTTATTTTTCTTATTTCCCATATATAAAAATAAATCTGCTAATTCATGCATTCATTTATGGTGTCTTAAAGCTTAGGAACACGATTTTACATATTTTTGAAAACTGGTTAAAATATTTATTTTTTCTTCACCATGAAACGCATGACATTTCTGTTTCGAGTCGTGCTATGGTCATCCGGGTATTTCCAGGGAAGGACGCTAGGCTACAGAGTACAGAGTGATTTTTTTAAATGGTAAGTTTATTTGCTAGGTGTATTTTGCTGAGTATGAGAATTTATGTAAATGTTGACAGTTAGATATTAAATCGCGAGATATTTATTATAGTTAGCCAACTAAAGTAACGGCGTGTATCTCACCAAACCATGCAGGCACGTAGCATCGTTTTTGAAAATGGGGCCATGGGGGGCCAACCAGAGTTTTTTTTTTCACCTGAAAAAGTTGACAAGCAAAAAAAAAAAAACAAAAAAAAAACGAACAAACAAACAAAAATTAAAAGTTCCCCGAACTCGAAAATCCTATTTCGTGACGTTGGATGGTTGGGGGTGGGTGGGTGGGGGGGGGGGGGGGGGAATGATCAACTTCTCGAAGCCAACTTACTCTCACTTCCACTTTCTGTACGATCCTTGATATCTCTATACTATGTTATAAAGTGGGGGGTGGGTGGGGATCACCATCCTTTCAATGAACATTTACTATAGTAAAGGTAATGTTGGGGAACAGGGTCCCCCCCCCCCTGCGGATGCTACGTCCCTGCAAAGTTGGGATGTGGTTACTGATGTTCATCCAACATGTACATGGTCATGATGATGTATTGTTGGATAATTCACAATTTATTGCAAATTGGAAACCAAATTAAGCTTTTTTTTTTAAATTATGTCGGTCAATAGACGTTTATTGTACCTTTTTTTAAGTATTAGCTAGGTGACAATATTACCTTCAATATTCGCTATGTTTAGAGAAGATTCAAGATAGAGATATTGCTAATTCATACTCCAAGGCCCTAACATGCGAGTATCCTTTATTGCCGAAAAATACCACATTTTTCTTTGACATATATCCAGCTACACCAGTCTGGGCTAAAAATAATCCCCGTCCATGACCTTGGATAAACAGGAAGAATTATTGCCGCTTATATCATTTCCTGATTATTCACCAACTAATCACTAAACGAACCAACAACTATTAAATTAATGACAATTAAAGGTCGAAAAATTTCTTGAATCTAAAATAATTCAATTAGAAACGCAATTTAAATGTCTTATTTTAAACTTTTGCTGGCCTATTTTTTTTCGATGTTGCTACGACCTCCTGCGTTAAAATAACATGTGCTTTGTCGGAACTGACAATGACCGAAACACTATTTTTCCAAGTGAACGCAGTATCATGACAGATAATAGAGAGAAAAGTATAAACCTCATCCGCTGCAGGGCTTTGGAAAATACCTGTTTAACCAGTGGTGGGCGGAGTTCTGTGGTTAACTGGCTAAGAGCCCAATGGTGTACTTAAACACCCAATTTTATGTTAACGCCCCCAAAATCTACCTGATTCAAGATCAATAATTTACCGCCTGTCAATCATTAAAAAAACAATAGCTTCTGATTTGATTGACAGGTCAGCTACCGATAGTCTGAGTTTATGTCCTTTGAAAATGATTGCCTGGTCACGCGTCAAACACTTTTATTAGCCGCGTGTATACACGGGGGTTAAAAAAAGAATCTTGGTAAAATTTTATTTTAAAAACAATTGAGAGTAGATAATTAAAACATGACTTCATAAAATATTTGCTTTTAATCTCAACGGCTATATTGTATTTTAGGCGATATGTCGTCCAAGATATCTGCTCTGTAGAATTTAGACCAGTCCGTGCACAGAAACGCTAATTGCCGATTAAAATTGAAATATGATAAATAAGAAAAGATATTTAGCACAAACGGCACGGATAAAAAAAAAAAAGCATTTATCCCATGTTTTATCTACGTATATATGAATACAATCTATACCATGTTCCGTTGTAAAGTTCTGAAATGAAAATAGCTAGGAGTTTCGAGATTGTAACTTTTAGTTCGAATTTCCTTACATCTGTCAATATCCAATATTCGAAATTAAAAAGTGTATATATACAGCCAAATATCAATTCTTAAAAGTATAAAAGAAATCTTGCAAACAATAAAAAAATTAAACACACGAACACCCGGAAATGGGGAATATTTTCGACACTATTGTTGATCAGAACGAAGGCAATATTTCTATCGTAGTACGGTACATTGTATATGTTCACACGACGGATAGGCCTACCTATGAATGGAATATTTTATTATATTATTTTTCTTTTAATTTTGATATTTACACAAGTTTAATTTAAAAAGATATGTTTACTTTGTAGTTTTACACTGTGTTCTTTTCTTTAATTTGTCATTTTTTTTGAAATATAAAAACGATCTTTCTGTATATAATTTTTTTCTTCATTATATATCACTGAAAGTATTTATAGAAAAATTTTTTTATTGAAATATTTCAATTATTTCAAGTAGTTTCACTCAAATTTAGACACGAAACACGGAATATTGACCCTGATCACCAGACACAGACTTCCTGTGTAATGCTACGTGTATATAGATTTTTGACATTTTGGGTATTGGGGGTCTCCAGGTAAATAACACCACTGTTACCTAGACCACTCCCCCTCCTCAGGTAACCGTACGGTAAAAAAATTGGGTCTTTAAACATCGATCACAGTAACTGGATGTCATTGGTCAGTGTCATTTGGATAAGAAAACTCTTTAAGAATCTTCTTCTCAAGAACAACAAACCCATGATTGGTCATATTTTAATGGAAGCATCCCCAGGACTGATATTTCTGCTTTTTCCTAGCCAGAATGCTCAGGTGAGCACATTTTCATTCATTTCATGATAAGTATTT